TACGATCGATTTCCAACCTTGACCCAAGCTAGGTACAGTACCTACTAAAACTAAGATTTTTAGTTATTCACTAGATACTAAAACGGCAGTTGATGGCGGACATTTACGCGTTAGCTTATCCCTAAATAGGTTAGGAACTTACTAGTTATAGGACTATCGTGCCAAAACCGCAACAAATGGCTCCGAGAGAGGCCGCGTTTACGAAAAGCTACAATCTGCCAGTTCGCCTTAGCTAAAATTGGCTTCAGACTATAATATGTCAAGTAAAATAATATAAAGCCTCCTTGAACATAGCTAGCATTATTGGTATCTATGATTCCATGGGGTCCTCCAGATTTCAATGAAGTCGTCATACTTATCACCAATTGAGTATACTCTTTGAAGCAGCGACTGTAAGGGAACGGCCCCACTTTAGGACTTAGATAGCTCGAGTCAGAACTTCCTTCGGAAGCTCTTACTCTCCTTGTGAACAATCGCTTTATCCAAGTCGCACTCGATTTTGTTCGTGCCCTTGTACCGTCACAGCGACGGAAAGTCCGTCAGAGCTTCTGAGACGGTTTTACAAGCTTCCGCGATCTTGAGTGATCTAATTAAAGACTTTTCTAGTTCCACTAACCTGGAAAATGCTCTGAAAGAACCTATACCCCTCGAAAATGTCAAATATGCCACACTAGAACTAATCATTGGCTGGTGACCTATCATGCCCAGGCCATCCAAGAACTAGTTGAAGAATGGAGACGAAAATTCTTTCTCAGCATCGATAATGCGGGCCTCGTCGACCTTATAAGAGCAGCGAATTTCCTAGAAATAGATTCGCTTTTAAAAAGCAGCTGTACAGAACTTGGAAGACTGACGACTACTACGACACTCTGGTTGTTAAGTGGGCTACCAGATGAAATGAGGTCCGAAGTAGCTCAATATTTGGACCCATATACGCTTCAGATGGCAGCTAAGATAGGTGTCGTGCCTCTGACACCGGATTTATGGAAGAAAGCGCAGCATGCCCATATTTGGGTTACAATTTTAAGCCAAGAGGATTTAAAAGGCCTAATGAAGGCCTGTCGAGACGGAGCAGACGCCTACCTTATAGGCTGGGGCCTAGAATATCTCGAGAACTTCAAACCTGGCACAGCTATACCAAGAGATATATCCCCAGTTCATATTCTACTTGCATGGAAAAAAAGAAAGCCTAAACCGGAGTTGACGCCACACGAAATCACAAATAAGCCATTCAATCGAATGGTTCGTCTTCGAAATAGCCCTATTATGCTGCACATTGCTACGACTAGCGCGTTTGTCTTTGTGGACAATCTGGAAAAGCTAGTCGATTTGGAGACTCTAAAGACTTAAGGTTATTAGCTTCCAGCACGCGATATTACCATCAGATTTTGCACTGAATCATGTTGACAGTGATACAACTGGGGAAGTTTATTACATTAACTGCCCCGGCGCCGCTGAAGACGAAGACCTTCGAATCATCCACCAGACAACGCCATCTCAAAGAAAGAAAGCCCAAGATTGGTATAAGGATATAATGGCTCATAAGCGCTCACGGAGGGGATATTAGTCTCCATGTTATCAGCCTCTAGCCTAAGTCATGTAGTTGCACTAGTATTAACATAAAATAAGTTTGGTGATAAATAGAGCTGCATTAAATTACATAAATCAAACTTCTTAGACAGGATAACGTAGCCATGGTATTCTTACGTGGTATCAGAGTGCGCTCGCAGGATACAGTCTGCAGGGAAATGAAGTAGACTACGACTCAGCTATCGGAGATGAAATCGCCCGCCAGACTGGCGATAGAGTAATGTTGCAAGTGTTTAGAATATTACGGTAAAGATGTGCGTATGTATTGCAGTACTGTAGTTACAACGTTAATGCATGTGTTGCAGTTAGCGAATCCGTTTTCTGATGACCGAGATTCAGTTTTTGGATACGCGGAACACCCTCCCCACTTGTACTCGCCAGGATTGGTGGGAGGTACCGCGGCGGGTACATGATACATGCAGGGCGACTGATACATGGGCGCCCGGGCGCCTAATTAGACTTCTTTATGTTTTACCTTCTATAAAATCAACAAAAATAGCTTAAAATTCGATAAAAGTTTCCACAGCATGTAAAGAACTATATCTATACTCTCAAACTATTAATATCCAAGCATATGGCAAATTTAAAGAGTTGTAGGTTATCAAGCCAGACGCTTAGTCATGATTTCCCAAAAGTCGCGCGCCCGGGCGCCCGAATATAAATATGACAGCTTTAAACACCCAAATATAATAAATAAAAATTCAAAACTGTAAAAAAAAACCTACTACCATATGTATTGTGTGGATATATATCCCAGAATAGCTTTTTTGTAACTTTTCACATGTATTTTATCGGGTTGTCATTGAAACGTCAAATACCTATAAATGGGCGCCCGGGCGCCCATGTATCAGTCGCCTACATGCAGGGGTACGAACGAAATCAGAAAACCGAATCCAGCAGACTATTGCTACCTGGAGGTAGAATACGCGAAGGAACGAATACAAAAGGTCGACCTGCAGAATTTATGGCACCGACAAGTCATCGTCCTTCGTCTCCATCTTTCGCTCTTTGTAACCCATTTCGTTGCACCCCGCGCGCGCCCTCTGTCTAACACTGCAAAGTTGCAAAAATGACCGAAGAACTTGATGCAGCTCAAGTTGGATCTTATCAGAAGAGACCCCGAGAAGAAGAACTCGAAAACATGAGCTGGTGTACAACAAACCTTCGGGTCGAAAGTCTCTCTTAAAAGAATACGAAGATGAATCGGATGCCTATACAGATGTCGAATATTACCCTGTTGAGCGTGCGCGGACTCGGCGCTGCTGGGTTTGCGATGACGTCGATGAGCGGACTGATCCGAGCTTTCACGTGCTCTGTTGGGAAGATATCGACCTCTGGATTCTTCGCGACCCTGAAGATGGCAACGGGACAGACAAACCGGCTGTGCAACTACTGCTACGGTGGCATAAAGGACACAACAAGAAAATTGTCCCCACGTGGTACTTATTCGTTGAAGAGAAACACCCCGGGCTTTGCCCGACATCGCATATTCTTGCCAAAGCACTAGCTGAGAAAGTCATTGCCAATCAAGGTTATCAGACTAGTGAAGGTCCTTTCTTCAATACCAAGCTGAGTCGGAGAGCAGTCAAGATTCAGTTGAAGAAGGAATGGAGACATAAACCAGTATTCCGGCAGACCATCAACTCGCTAGGGGAGAAGCCAGATGAACCACTGACTGCTGCGGTGTTTGACAGCCATTCTAATCGGCTAGGGATTGCATTGGGGCTGTCCGAAAAATTATCACAATATTGTTACCGCCGTGGGTACGCCGAGACAGTTGATTGTAAGTTCAACATCATTTGTATGCCAAGTGTAGCTAACCATCGTCAAGCGAACTACCGCCAGTCAGTCAGAGATCAGGGAATGAGGCACAAGCCGAATAGTACTGTTTACCAAAATTATTATCACAATGCACGGATGAACGCCGTTGTCCAAGACGCATTCCTCAGCAGAGGCACGAATTCCCCAATGCTGGCACTCCTCAACCATATGGTCCTCAGCAGGGATGAAAACGCCCCTAAGATTGTACCTGAAGATATGATGCAGGTATCTGGCTCAAATAGAGCTATTCAACAGCTAGAAAGTGAGTTCAACAGTTTCAGGCAGAATTGACAGACAAGTACGGTCGTCCAAGCCGAGCGTCAGCAGCAGAGATGGCAAAATACAACGGCAAGCAGCAGGAACTCAGAACAGCGCGCCAGAAGCATCGGGGAAAGGTGCTTAAGGTGATCCGGAGAGGCTACTTCGAGAAGAAACACGACGAGGAGTTGCAGAACCAGCTACGAGGTATCTATAGGAGCGGTCAACTGACTGTATCGCTAGTGTGGCGACTAACAAACGCAAGAAAGATCTGCCTCCTTCTGCGATGCTGTCAACATCATACTTCCAGTGTTTTCGCTTCCTGCTTGGCACCAGGTCGTACGCTATGCGAATGCAGGTAAGGCCTCAAAGCTTGACCTCCATCCAACAAGCATGATTATAAGACGAGCGAGAAACAGTTATTCTTACCTAAAGGCGTGGATAATGGCATGGCATCTACCGTGGAAGATCCAAGCGATGACAGCTGCCGTGGCCCGGGGAAAAAAGGGAGGGGAGGGGAGTTATGTCTGGTTTCGAAGTTGTCTGTAGAAGCACCGACGTGGATACCACATTGAGGGGCCAAGATAGAGGCGGACGGAGACCACTTCCACGACGGATCACATAGTGGAGGATGCAGAACTAACATGCTCTACTTGGTTAGGGAGCACATGCTGGGGCATTAGATGTAATGAAAGCTGGCGTCCCCGTTGCGGCAAGTAAGAGTAAGAGTGATGCTGCTGTTGCTGTTGCTGTTGTGGCGGCGGCGGCGGATTCCGCGCCTGTTGAGAATAGACCGTGGTCTCGGATTTTGTCGTGAAGTCTAGCGGCGGGGCGCCTAAATGCAATAGGTCCGCTACTTGAGTAGGATCAATGGTCCAACAAATGCAGCTCGCTACAGAAGGGTCCTCGTTCGAGAAGTTGAGCGCCGGTGGATGGAAAATCTGCCTACCGTGGTGAACGATTGTCTGTTGTATGGCTGAGATAACAGTCAACTAGTTCGGTCAATACAGGCCAGCAGTACAATACGCTCTAGAAAGAAACGGTGTTGTTGCGTGCGGGACTGTGCATTGGTGTCCTGACGCCTGTTTCTCGGCCTGTCCCGCAAGCTATCTGACTTTGGCGGAACAGGCACTTGAAGAGACTGATCGGCTGGTCCCCAAGGGTAGCTTGCATGGGGCAAGCAAGCTATGGTGCGCGAAGACTGGGTACAATGCAACAGCACACGGAGTTGGGCACAGAGCTTATGCCGGCTTATTCGAAGCGTCTGGATCAGTCGAGGGCCGGACATGAATCTAGGCCAGGAGTGTGTTGTTTGTGCTAGCACACACCTGCGGTTGATTGTGGATCTGAAGTCTGAAGTTCAAGACATGCAGAGCACCGGCGGGTACAGGGCTCAGGTAGGGCATCAATCGTCCATCTGTGGGGATCGATTTGAGTGGAGAAATGAGATCTGAGAGGTACAGAGAGCGAGATTCAGGGGTACTGGCATGGGCCCGGTAGGCTGGACTGGAACATTGGAGACTTTTTGAGTGTGTTCTGTAGTCTACACATTTTTCCATTTCCCTGTTGGAGTGTCGACAACTGGAAACGATAGCAAAGGGAGCTAGTGGCTATGTGGCTGGCGGGTCTTTGCTGCCCTCTGGAACTTCCTGGTGTGCACGGCTTCGCAGGCCGAGACATTGTAGCTGACCCGGCCTATTACACCCGCAGGTTAATTTTTCCCTACTATTCCTGGTGTTTGACGTAGTTTCACAAGCTGTTAGCAGCATCATGCTACTTGTACTGGTAGCAACCCCCCTTTGGCCCAAACTCTGGATGCTGGCGCATACTTGGTTGGCGCCCCAGCCTTCACGCAGTGCCGTCCATGCAGGTCGGCGCGTCCCTAATATCACCCAACATATTGGATTGTCTGATAAAGACCTGTCTCTTTTTGCGATGTAAACAATACTCGCTTGCATCTGTGCTACATTTGGGTTATCGCTGTTGATGATGATGAGGATGATGATGATGATGATGATGATGTATTTTCCGTCCAGCGACTTTAGTCGGTCAGGTCTCCTATCGGAGCACAGGACGTGCTGAGCTAAACTATGTACAAATCGAAACCACAGATAAGCTTCACCCAGCGCTTCTTGCAAGACCGCGCAGGTTGAGCCGCCAGGCTCACTCTCAGGAGGCGGCTTACCTACCCCGGCAGAGGAGATAGGTTGTCCCCAGCACACAGTACAAGTGTCTATGGCTAGTCTCTCTGAGTATCAGTTCTTCCACAGTTTATCCAGCATTGTATCAGCTCCCCCAAGGCTGCAACCTAACATGAACAAGCATGGTCTGCCGTGGCCCAGGTTAGCGCTCTCGTTCGAGGCCCTCATCCCGTCAGCGGGAGTGTTGGGCAGTGGCCGTAGCCATGATGGTCAACCCTTGGTTTTGTCCGGTCAGAATTCTCTCGTCCCCTCTGCCAAAGCTTTCAAAGCTTTATATCCATCCTCGCTTGCTCCAAGGAAAAGAACCGGCCGAGGGGCGGCGGCAGGGAAAAACCCTTCGAAGGAGCCGGGGCGGCGGCAGGGAAAAACTCTTCGAAGGAATCAGAGGCTGTCGAGCAGCTTGCCTTCAGGGAGAAAAAACCCCGCGACCAGCCACCGTTGTTTAGAAGAGCTGGCCTTCCAATACCCATAGCTCCTTGGTTCCGAAAGAGACTATGAGGTGAGTGGACGTGATTGTCGGGACCGGCTTCGCTGTTCGCTCGGTAAAATGTCAACTCTGTGGTAGCGAGAGCAAAAAGAGGCCTTTGATCTTGGGCTCGCATGGCTCCCATGCAGTGCAACCATGAGTTCCGCGGAAATTCATCCCGATTTGTCCGAATGATATGGCATCCGTTACAGCTCAAAACGTTTGATGGCTAGAATAGTATTAGATCGACAAACATAGCCTTTCTGAGCCAAAACATGCAGCTACACCGGTTGGAGGATAATAGTGTAGTTGACAAGGCATCTCGGGTGTTTTGTGCTGATGGATTCACGTTAATAGAGCACATGTCGCAGGAGGCTACTAGGGAATTATTTTATCACCAAATGCTTCTTCTACCGTAGCAAAGATTCAGGCATACGCGTTGGCCGGAAAGCTTTGGCACCTCTAGCCAAGATTATACACCCGCGAGTCTTTTGCCGATAGGCGGGAAAGAAAAGTGGGAAACCAAAATGTTCGTGCGTGTCTCAACGTACCACCTAGTTTGTGGCCCCACTTGTAATCTCCCAACCGCTGGCAGGGTCGGATTGTGGGAAATCAGGCCACTTGGTATGCCGTAGCGTGCCCAATTAGCGCAAATGCAGTGGCCAACAGACGGAGGCTGGCTGCGCTGGTGCGATATTGTGGCCTAACCCCTATTCATTCAACTGCCATACAGGTAGTCCAAAATGGCCATCCAAGAACCTGTGAAAAGATGCGCAAAGGCAGAGACTTGATATATATGGACAGCAGGACAGGACTGGCATTAGACAAATAAATAACGAAACGCAACTGCAATCCTAATGGATGAGGTTAGTACAGTATATGATTGACGGTTGGTAATTGTTACTGACCTTTAACTTAGGACGTCTTTTGTTCGATGATGCGATATATTTCGCTACTAGAAACGCGAAATCGGTCCCTACTTGCGCAGCGAGAAATCCTGCAAAAGTATATTGCCATCCTAGAGGGTTTATATCCACAGCTCATGTGTGAGCTACAGCCAAGAATGGCCACAATCTGCGACGGGCTGGAGAAGACAGATCAGAAGAGTAGGCATGGTGTCGACAAGGACGGCATAGAATAGGCATCGTGAGTAGGATCAATTCAGTTATTGGTAGACGGGGCGAGTCAAGGCAAGAAATCTAACGATACAATGGAGAAAGTTCGTAAATATTATTGCTCAGTGCCTAGACGCGTGACTAATGTGAAGGGGGTGCTCCGCATTGCAGGGGGCAACGCCTAGACCACGAACAACTCTTTGGCTCCAATCTTTACCCTGACCAGGATTCTGCATTAGAACCTGGGGTGGCGGAGGGAAATTTCTCCTTTTGAAAGTTTCAGGGGATGTATCGTATCTGGGACACATTGACTTCCTTGCTAAACACTGGTAGCCCGTTGCTGAGTCGAGGCCTCGCCCATTTCAGCCGCGTCTTGAGTCCTTCACTGAGGCTTGGAAAGGTTTGATTGTGCTGAATAACCTTATTACCACTTCTCAAATCGGTAATAGAATCGTTGCTTCACTCAAAAGAGTTTCGGAGCCGGCCATAGTTACAGGCTCAAGGTGCCTAGTGGCTGATCGTTCTTGGGTAAGCTTGGACGAATGGGAGGGTCGTGGTCACCAATCAGACAGAATCTGTTGGTGTTATCACTATTGCTATAGTGTATAAGGATTGTATTTGCTGCATATAAAACGCATCTCGGCTACGGTCAGCATGTCACCGAACATCCAGCTTGCCCGCTGGTGCCCGCAACAATCAATTGATCAACTTGGTGCGCCTTTAAGGCTAAGCATTGACGGTTTACAGTCTAGGGTAGACTTGGAATTTGCGGACACAATGCATTGTTGTGCATGTCATTTCGGCTTTCCTAAAGGCCTCTTCCTCCAATTGCCAGCCTTTGTCCAGCGATGTATGGAATGCTTGCAGAAGTCTACGTCCCAGGCTGGAAGTTGTGGCTACGCCCGAAAGCCTCGCTTGCAAGCTGAACGCGTATCGCCGTCAAGGCGAGATTTGTATGGAAAATGCGCTTACCAGGGGCGCAAAGTTGTCGCGAGAATTTGTTGGAATGATGTATAACCAACCATGTAGTCAAGCAGCGGGTTCAGTGAAAGGTGGTCTGCAGCAATTTCAGCGACTCCGGGCGAAGCTCGCCTGGTAGAGTCATGGATCAGATTTGGATATACTTGACTTGTCATCCAGACATGAGACATGCCCACCGGCTCCGCGACGAAAGTCGAGCAAGTGCAGACGGTGCAGTGGGCATGGCGGCATGGACAGGTTCACATCTTGGAGCCAGCTGTTGGCGCTGATGAGTCTTTCGGAGGACCATCTCCCCATCGACCCTTGGCGTGACATGAGGTGCCGCGGAGTTCAAGTACCCAGGTTCTTTGCGGTACAATGCGCGTCAGAGCGACTGGAGCCGGTCGCGATTGCGTCGTGGGCGCGTTGCGCCTTTGGTTGCCCTCGGGCTCAGGGAGCCGGATGGTGAGTAGAGGAGTCCATCGTCAGCACATCGTCAGCTTGAAAGAAGTCCGTGGGTGAGAGGTCCTGAGAAAATACGAATACAGCAGCTGAATCTTTGGCGTCCGGGCTGCTTGTCAGGAACAGGGGTTGTACCTGTGCCAGCGGCGGCATACAAAAACGCCACCAGGGTTGCGCTACCAACCGAGCCGTTCCACTACGCAACAAAGCCGGCACAGCGATAGGAGGTGAGCATCTTCCTTTGTTACACGAAGTTGGCACTGTCGAATCATCGGATCAGAGCTTTGGTGATAGCGAAGCGCCGTGGCTCCTCACGTCACGGGGCCATTAGACGACCGGGAAGCAGGGTGTCAGATTGGTACTGCGCCAGGGTTGCGGTAGAAACTGAAACTGTATCCGACGTTGCTGCCAACGTGCTGCCTTCTCACACTTCGATGCCAAACCGCCTCGCATCTGGCTGCACTTTTTGACTTCATTCCTCCTTAACATTCACTAATTTTTACTCTGTAGACCACTGAGAGCCGCTCCAGATAGCACGCTGACAAGCAGAGAAATTCCAGCGACCACTTGAAAGAATATCAAGTATCCCTTCATCCAAGATCCAACCTGCTGTGCGGACGGCATCAAGTACAACACAGAGTTGGGCAGCCTCGCCTTCGTCACCTTGTGGCTGCCGTCATGTCTTTCTTTATTTCAAAATCTTATTGTCGACGCACTGGACGAATGCCAAGTAGAGCATGGATGCCGAAAGAGGTTTCTTTCTGAAATTATTAAGCTTCAAGCAAAGGTTAGCGCGAACATCTTCGCGACGTCAAGACCCATACTGGAAATCGAACGGGAATTCGAAGGAAAGACGCAATTAGAGATAAGTGCTAGAGATAAGGACGTACAAGCATACCTGGCTGGTCATATGGACCGATTACCTTCGTTCGTGTCAGAACACCTTTCGGAACTATCCGCATCTACACCGATGGCAGCCGCATCGACGGACATGTCGGAGAAGCGGCCATATCGCCGGCACTCCAAATCGACGGTGTCTGCGCGAAGCGGACCGAGTGCATGGGCACATCCGACATCTCTACAGTGTACTCAGCCGAGCTCAGAGGCTTAGCGCTGGCCTTGAAAATGGCGCTTGACGTGAGCCTGGCGACACACTGCGCCGGAAAGTGCACAATCTCTACCGACAACCAGGCAGCCATCCAGGCGATGCGGAACCTGAAGCACCCATCGGGACAATACATCCTCGCGGAGGCCATCCAAGCGCTCGACGAGCTGCGAGGCCACGGCTGGGACATGCAATTCCGATGGATTCCAGCACACGTCGGGGTGCCCGGGAACGAGGCCGCCGACAAAGCGGCCAAGGAAGCCGCCGGCCACAATGCAAATTCACGACAGACCGCCGAACCGCCGCCGGAACCAGAGCACCTGCGAGCGCTGATGGCGCCAGCCAAATCCGCCATTCGCAAGACCATGAAAGCCGAGTGGAAGGCATCCTGGGAGACGGCCAAGCACGGAAAGGAACTCTTCCGCCTTGGGGTCAAGCCAGGCAAGGTGTCGCGTTTTGAGACGTGTATTAGCTATAGTCATTTTGAGATGTTGCGATGCCCGTTGCAATTCTTGTATATTCATG